TTTTCCTATATACATGGATCTCAAACAAGGGTTTTATTCATTTAGATATCAGGAATTTGAGATATAGCAGCGATGGCTTAGCTTCAACATCAGGAATAACTAATAATTCAATTATGTCATTCACAAATCATGATGGTAGTATTCATATCTTATCAATAATGACAAATCTCAAACTCAAACTCTACTGGGCAAGAAACAATATACTCTTTCTTTTCTTTACTTTTCTATATTTTGAGACAGAGTCTCACTTTGATGCTCAGACTGGAGTGCAAGGGTGTGATCATGGCTCACTGCAATCTCGACCTCTGGCACTCAAGTGATCCTCCCACCTCAGTCTCTCAAGTAGCTGACACTACATGCATGTACCACCACACTCAGCTAATTAACTATTTTTTTGTACGGATGGGGTCCCAATATGTTGCCCAGGCTGGTGTTGAATTCCTAGCCTCAAGCAATCCTCCCACCTCATTCTCCCAAAGTGCTAGGATTATGGGTGTGAGCCATTGCACCTAGCCAATGTAAATTAAATGAGTTCCAAAAAAGGGAAAATTGAGGTAACAATCTAGAGAGCGTATGCTCTGAATAAAGTAGGAATCTTTTCAGCTCCAGCTAAATGCTGAAATGCAAACAAAATGTTATTACAGTAAAAACTTCTCAAGAGAAATCCAAAATCCAGTTTTTATGTTTCATGTCACAAAATTTAAACTGTCATATAAACCATCAAAACACTTCCATAAGCCAGTATTTTGCAGCTTTGGGGCTAACATCTATTGGGTACCCAATACATACATTTAATTAAAATTTTAATAACAAAAATCTAAAGTTTAATAAGCAGATTTCTGTTTTCAGTGAGATGAATTAGCAGAGTTGGCATTTATGTTTCTGCCTGGAACAACAAAAAACCTGGAAAAACAAATGAAACAAAAATTTTTAAGATGCAACATGTTAACAAAGGGCAATGGACTAGGAAATGGGAAACATGTTACATAAGCTTTGTGATCATACCAGTACTAACTAAGAGTGTTTACAAACTATCATGCAAAGAAGGGGGAAATCACATGGGACTCAGGAACCTTTGTAAGTCAAGATAAGGCTAGAAAGAAGCCCAGGGAGGCTAAGACTCTGGAGTTCTCAAGACACAATACAGAGAGGAATAAGCTACTGATAGAAAAATATTTCCAGAGGAGCAATGAGATAAAGATTGACCAACCAGGGCCAGGCACAGTGGTTTGCACCAGTAACCTTAGCACTCTGGGAGGCCACGGTGGAAGGATCACTTAAGCCCAGGACTTCAAGAGCAGCCTGGGCAACAAAGTCAGAGCCCGTCTATTTAAAAAAAAAAAAAAAGACTGACCAAGCCTATGTGCTTTTAAGAGACTACACAAAGGTGGATGAAACAAATTCAAAGGATCAGAGGGTGAAATTCCCTAAGTTCACCTGAGCTTGGAATAGTTCCTGTTCCCAACATTTGGAGTGATTAACTTCATAATTTACAGGGCATTGAAAATGCAAGAATTTGTAATGGACAAAAAAATTGCCCTAGACTAAAATCTGCTCTAAAATGCCCTCCTCACAACACTTCCTCATACCAATAGCATAGCTTTAGAACACCAATTAAAATCTCACATTGTCTATGAAATATGTTTTGTCTCTACTGAACAACGCATTCAAGTATTTGCATTTGGAATAAATCATTTCCTGACCTGTAATCTTCTCATATAAATTACCTTTTATCATTCAGCTGAGGTTGTAACTTGCATTCCTTTACTACAGCAGTGCCTTACAGATCAACTTGCTGTTTTCTGTATACATGCCATTATATAACACACTGCTATTTGAGTGAGGTTCACTGTCATTCCACAAACTCAACAAAGTCTCCTGCTTGAACAATTGCTAGTTTTGGCTTATTTTTTCTGGAAAAGAAACGGTTTTACTTTTACTTTTAATAGACTGAATAATTGAAAATTAAGAGGGAATGACTGGATAAATCAGTAAGTAGAACAGAGACAAAATTTGTATTTAATTTGGAAAGATTATAGTAAACACAGATTATAACAACAAATAGTTCAAGAAATGGAAAACGAAAAACTGGGAGAAGAAATTTCTAATTTCTAAGGATTAATATGTGTTTCTAAGTTTTAGAATAGTCTAATGGCTCACAATGTCCTACGTGGTGACTCGAATACGAGTTGAAAATGACTTAAGAGTGTGCCAATGCCAGGCACGGGTTCACATCTGTAATCTCAGCACTTTGGGAGGCCGAGGCGCATGGATCGCTTGAGGTCAGGAGTTTGAGACCAGTCTGGCCAACACGGTAAAACACCGTCTCTACTAAAAATAGAAAAATTAGCTGGCGTGGTGGCAGGCACCTGTAATCCCAGCTACTCTGGAGGCTGAGATGTGAGAACTGCTTGAACTCAGGAGACAGAGGTTGCAGTGAGCCAAGATCATGCCACTGCACTCCAGCCTGCGCAATGGAGCAAGACTCTGTCTCAAACAAACAAACGAAAAAAGAGTGTGGCAAAATACTTGAGTACTCTAAATAAATACTCAATATGGTGGAAAGGTTAGATTCTATATTCAAAGGCAAAACCCTGAGATATTTTTACCTTATAGTTTATATCAACAACAGTGCTTTGGAAGGCATTAATATCCATAAAAAAGTAAAAAGAAGCAATCTCAATATGCAATATGTAATCATAGGCCTTGAGAGAGTATTATATATGGAGGAGGGAGGTGTTAAAGCGTATTAAAAATGCCTATTTAAGTAGTAGCCAAATTCAACACAAGCAAGTTTCTGTTCTTTTTCACAAACTGCAAATTTCTGTAAGCTAACCATAAATATTCAGCAGAGTACAACTGGAACAACAATTATTTAATTACCTTATGTTAATAGAACAGTTTCACAGGTACCACGCTGAGATAAACAATGACTCCAGCTCTTAACTTCTCCAAGGTAAAAATCATTCTTAAAATCACAAATCTAATTTTTCTGAAGCTACTTACTAGATCTCTTGTGGTAGTGGTGTGGCCTTTTCCTCTACCATGATTTCAGACTTATATCCTTTCATCCCTAAAAATCAGTACTTTGAAATTTGAACAGCAGATTATACTAACCTACTATCCTCAACCAGTCATCCACCACACTCACTCATAACCTAACATGTTATTCATCATTTCATTCAATATTATTTCTGTCCTAGTTTCTGTTCAATTATCATTTCTGGTGATTTCAGTATCCACAGTAACGAATGTTTTAATTATTCAATATCTCATTTCTTTGATTTCCCCTTGTTCAATAATTTTGTTCAGACCCTATCTCAACCACTGATTTACCAGGGCATACTCTAGACCAGAGGATCTTTAACTTTACTCAGCAATATGAACCTATGAACCATCTTTTCAGAAATAAGAAACCCTGTCTTAGACCCCTATCTTGGCCCCAAACAGCAATCCCTCAAAAATCTCAATTTCAAGCATCTTTCTCTCTCTCACACCCCCACCTTCTATTTTCCCATTTAATATTCAAGTTCCCCTGGATTCAAGATTCACTGATCTCAACACAGTTTCATTGTTATTAATTTCTTATTTTCTCACTTTTTTGCTCACCAAATGTAAAATCCTAGGTCTATCATTAGAATAATTCATTTGCCCTTCTCTGAATGTATCTTAGTTTTCCAGCCAAACCTCAATCATCAATAAATCTAACTCTCTGCCTACTTCATTTCTGTATCTAATCGATCAGCTGAACATAGCTGGAGATGAGTGGCTGTAGGGAAATGAATGATGAATTCCTCAAAGATTAACGATGTCAGTTAAAAAATCATGACCATGTTAAGTCAGTTTTTGCTGTACATAACTTATTTCATTCAATCTCTACTCTCCTAGATGACTATTTCACAACTTCTCAAATCCTAATACCATCAGCTGCTACTTCACTAAAAAGCAGAACCAAGTCACTCAAACCAGGAGGCGGAGGTTGCAGTGAGCCGAGACCGCACCACTATGCTCTAGCCTAGCGACAGAGCAAGCCATCATC